TGTCACCTGTGTCACTGTCACCTGTGTCACTGTCACCTGTGTCACCTGTGTCATTGTCACCTGTGTCACCTGGACACACTGACCGTAGAGATCCACCACGGCGTACACCTCTGGGACACGGGGACACCTGGGTCACCTCAGTGTCACCTGTGTCACTGTCACCTGCGTCACCTGTGTCACTGTCACCTGTGTCACCTGTGTCACTGTCACCTGTGTCACCTCAGTGTCACCTGTGTCACCTGTGTGACCTCTGTGTCACCTGTGTCACCTGTATCACCTGTGTGACCTGTGTCACCTGTGTCACCTCAGTGTCACCTCAGTGCCACCACCCTCATGCTCCCCAACATCTCCAAATGTCCCCAATGTCCCTAGTGCCCAAAAATGTCCCCAATGCCCTGGCTGTCCCCAGTGTCCCCGGCTGTCCCCAGTGTCCCCATACCTGGTGGCAGCCCCGAGCAGGCCACGCCCTGGCTGTCCCCAATCCCCTGGCTGTCCCCAATTATCTGTGTCACCTCAGTGTCACCTCAGTGTTACCACCCTCATGCCCCTCAACATCTCCAAATGTCCCCAGTGTCCCCAATGCCCCCAATGTCCCCAGTGTCCCCAGTGCCCCCAATGTCCCCACTGTCCCCGATGTCCCCAGTGTCCCCGGTGTCCCCAGTGTCCCCATACCTGGTGGCAGTCCTGAGCAGGCCACACCCTGGATGTCCCCAATCCCCTGGCTATCCCCAATATCCCCAGTGTCCCCAGTGTCCCCGGTGTCCCCAGTGTCCCCATACCTGGTGGCAGTCCTGAGCAGGCCACACCCTGGATGTCCCCAATCCCCTGGCTATCCCCAATATCCCCAGTGTCCCCAGTGTCCCCGGTGTCCCCAGTGTCCCCAGGGTACCTGGTGGCAGCCCCGAGCAGGCCACGCCCTGGTCGGTGCCGTCGATGAAGTAGCGCAGGTCCCCTCCCCCCGTGCGCATCATCCCGATCCGCGCGCCCGTGCCCAGCGCGTCCAGGTCACAGCCGTAGTTATTGCGCATGGTGTTCCCGTCCTGCATGATGGCCGTGCCGCTGCGGGGACACGGGGACATCGTGGGGACACGGGGACACAGCCCTGACATCATCACAGTGACAGACACACAGCCATGGGGACAGGGACACAGCCCTGACACAGCCACGGGGACAGGGACACAGGGACACAGGGACACAGGGACACAGGGACAGGTCACAGCCGTAGTTATTGCGCATGGTGTTCCCGTCCTGCATGATGGCCGTGCCGCTGCGGGGACACGGGGACATCGTGGGGACATTGGGAACATGGGGGGACACCATGGGGACACAGCCCTGACACAGCCACGGGGACACAGGGACACAGGGACAGGGACACAGGGACACAGGGACACAGGGACACAGGGACAGGTCACAGCCGTAGTTGTTGCGCATGGTGTTCCCGTCCTGCATGATGGCCGTGCCACTGCGGGGACACGGGGACATCGTGGGGACATTGGGGACATTGGGGACATTGGGGACATTGGGGACACAGCCCTGACACAGCCACAGGGACAGGGACAGGGACACAGGGACAGGGACAGACACACAGCCATGGGGACAGACACACAGCCACGGGGACACGGGGACAGGGACACAGTGACAGTGGGGACGCAGCCATGGGGACACCATGGGGACACGAGGGGACACCTCCCTGCCCCCCATGCTGCAGCGCTTGGGGACAATCAGGGACCCTCGGGGACACACGGAGACCCTTGGGGACACACGGGGACCCTTGGGGACACACAGGGACCCTTGGGGACAATCAGGGACCCTCAGGGACACACAGGGACCCTTGGGGACAATCAGGGACCCTCAGGGAACCCCGTGACCCAACAAAACCCCTTGGGGACACTGGTGACCCCTTGGGGACACTCAGGACACCCCCAGGGTCCCTTGAGGACATCAGTGACCTCTTGGGGACACCCAGGACACCCCAGGGTCCCTTGGGGACACTGGTGACCCTTTGGGGACATTGCTGACCCTTTGGGGACACCAAGGACAGGAAGGACAAAGAGGGACTCCCAGGTGTCCCAGTGGGGACATCAGTGATCCCCAGGTGTCCCAGGTGGCCCTTGGGGACACGGCTGTCCCCAGCTGTCCCCGGTGTCCCCAGCTGTCCCCGGTGTCCCCAGGTGTCCCCAGCTGTCCCCGGTGTCCCCGGTGTCCCCACCTGAGCATCCAGGTGTCGTAGTCGATGTCCGTCATGGTGTTGGGGAACTCCAGGTCCTCGGGGCGGATGGCGGTGCCAAATGTCCCCGATGTCCCCAGTGTCCCCGATGTCCCCAGGTGTCCCCATTGTCCCTGATGTCCCCAGGTGTCCCCGATGTCCCCCAGTGTCCCCTCAGTGTCCCCGTGTCCCCTCAGTGTCCCCGTGTCCCCTCACCGGCCTCGATGGAGCCCGACCATCGATCCACCATCTTCTGGATGACGATCTCGAACAGCTCCCCGTCCCGCAGGGCCCTGCGCCCCAAAAACCGGGAAATCACCCCAAAAATGGGACACCCCAAAAACGGGGAAATCACCCCAAAAATCAGAGCTGGGACACCCCAAAAACCAGGAAATCACCCCAAAAATGGGGAAATCACCCCAAAAATGGGAAATCACCCCAAAATTCAGAGCTGGGACACCCCAAAATTGGGAAATGGTTGGATTTGGGGTTGGATTGGGGGATTTTACCGGGATTTTTTTGGGATTTCACAATTTCGGGATTCCTGGGTGGATTTTTTGGGGGATTTTTTTGGGAATTTCGAGAATTTTGGGATATTTTGGTCTCCTCAGCGGCTGGAGATGACGATGGCGTCATTGAACTCGGAGCGGCCGTTCTGGCAGGGTTTGGGGCACGTTTTTGGGATTTTAACAGGGGTTTTTGGGATTTCACCATTCCGGGGCCGTTTTTTTGGGGGATTTTTTTGGGAATTTCGAGAATTTTGGGATATTTTGGTCTCCTCAGCGGCTGGAGATGACGATGGCATCGTTGAACTCGGAGCGGCCGTTCTGGCAGGGTTTGGGGCACGTTTTTGGGATTTTAACAGGGGTTTTTGGGATTTCACCATTCCGGGGCCGTTTTTTTGGGGGATTTTTTTGGGATTTTACAATTTCGGGATTCCTGGGTGGATTTTTTGGGGGATTTTTTTGGGATTTTACAATTTCGGGATTCCTGGGTGGATTTTTTGGGGGATTTTTTTGGGTTTTTGGGATATTCCGGGTCTGCTCACCGGTTGGAGATGACGATAGCATCGTTGAACTCAGAGCGGCAGTTCTGGCAGGGTTTGGGGCAGTTTTTTGGGATTTTAACAGGGTTTTTTGGGATTTCACCATTCCGGGGCCGTTTTTTTGGGGGATTTTTTTGGGTTTTTGGGATATTCCGGGTCTGCTCACCGGTTGGAGATGACGATAGCATCGTTCAACTCACAGCGGCAGTTTTGGCAGGCTTTGGGGCAGTTTTTTGGGATTTCAGCATTCCGGGGCCGTTTTTTTGGGGGATTTTTTTGGGTTTTTGGGATATTCCGGGTCTGCTCACCGGTTGGAGATGACGATAGCATCGTTCAACTCACAGCGGCAGTTTTGGCAGGCTTTGGGGCAGTTTTTTGGGATTTCAGCATTCCGGGGCCGTTTTTTTGGGGGATTTTTTTGGGTTTTTGGGATATTCCGGGTCTGCTCACCGGTTGGAGATGACGATGGCATCGTTGAACTCGGAGCGGCCGTTCTGGCAGCGTTTGGGGCACGTTTTTGGGATTTTAACAGGGTTTTTTTGGGATTTCACAATTTCGGGATTCCTGGGTGGATTTTTTCAGGGATTTTTTTGGGTTTTTGGGATATTCCGGGTCTGCTCACCGGTTGGAGATGACGATGGCATTGTTGAACCCGGAGCAGCCGTCCTGGCAGCGTTTGGGGCACGTTTTTGGGATTTTAATGGGGTTTTTTGGGATTTTACTGGGTTTTTTGGGATTTCGCTGTTTCTGGGTGGATTTTTTGGGGATTTTTTTGGGAATTTCGGGATATTTCGGTCTGCTCACCGGTTGGAGATGACGATGGCGTCGTTGAACTCGGAGCGGCAGTTCTGGCGCAGCGCGGTGCGGCCGCCGTTGGTGATGACGGCGTTGGCGCCGTGCAGCCGGTGGAAGCGCAGGTCGCTCGGGGACGCGCCCGGGGACGCGCCCTCGGGGCTGCCACCGCCGCTGTCACCCTCCGAGCCGTCCCCAGCCAGCGAGGACACCTCTGGGGACACGCCAGGCGGCTCGGGGACGGCCCCAAGGTCCCCAGTGTCCCCAAGGTCCCCAATGTCCTTCAAGATCTTTTGTGTCCCAAAACACCAAATTCTCCTCATGTCCCCAGTGTCCCCAATGTCCCCAGTGTCCCCAAGGTCCCCCGGTGTCCCCAGAGTTCTCCGTGTCCCCAGTGTCCTTTGACATTTTTCATGGCCCAAAACACCAAATTCTCCTCAAGTCCCCAATGTCCCCAAGGTCCCCAATGTCTCCAATGTCCCCAAGATCCCCTGGTGTCCCCAATGTCCCCAATGTCCCCAGTGTCCCCAATGTCCCCAGTATCCCCAGTGTCCCCGATGTTCTCCATGCCCCCAGTGTCCTTCAAGATCTTTCATGCCCCAAAATATCAAACTCTCCTCATGTCCCCAGTGTCCCAGTGTCCCCAATGTCCCCAATGCCCTCAAGGTCCTCAATGCCCTCAGTGTCCCCAATGTCCCCAGAGTTCTCCATGTCCCCAGTGTCCTTCAAGATCTTTCGTGGCCCAAAACACCAAATTCTCCTCGTGTCCCTAAGGTCCCCAACGTCCCCGATGTCCCCAATGTCCCCAATGCCCTCAAGGTCCTCAATGCCCTCAGTGTCCCCAATGTCCCCAGAGTTCTCCATGTCCCCAGTGTCCTTCAAGATCTTTCGTGGCCCAAAACACCAAATTCTCCTCCTGTCCCAAATGTCCCCAAGGTCCCCAGAATCCCCAATGTCCCCAAGGTCCCCCATCCCAATGTCCCAAATGTCCCCATTACCCCAGTGCCCCCAATAACCCCAATCTCCCCAGTGTCCCCAGTGTCCCCAGAGTTCTCCATGTCCCCAGTGTCCTTCAAGATCTTTCGTGGCCCAAAACACCAAATTCTCCTCCTGTCCCAAATGTCCCCAAGGTCCCCAGAATCCCCAATGTCCCCAAGGTCCCCCGATGCCCCCAATGTCCCCAATGTCCCCAATGTCCCCAGTGTCCCCGTTGTCCCTCACCTCCCTCGTCCACGATGGTGGCCTGTGCCACTTGCCCGTACAGGTCCTGTCCCCGATGTCCCCATTACCCCAATGTCCCCGGTGTCCCCAGTGTCCCCAATAACCCCCATGTCCCCAATGTCCCCGATGTTCCCGATGTCCCCAATGTCCCCAGTGTCCCCAATGTCCCCATTATCCCAGTGCCCCCAATAACCCTAATAACCCCAATGTCCCCCATGTCCCCAGTGTCCCCAATGTCCCCAATGTCCCCGATGTCCCCAGAGGTGTCACCCACCTCCCTCGTCCACGATGGTGGCCTGCGCCGCCTGCCTGTACAGGTCCTGATCCCAATGTCCCCATTACCCCCAATGTCCCCATTACCCCCAGTGTCCCCATTACCCCCAATAACCCCAATAACCCAAATAACCCCAATGCTCCCAGTGTCCCCAATCCCCCCTGATGTCCCCAATGTCCCCAGTGTCCCCAGTGCCACCCACCTCCCTCGTCCACGATGGTGGCCTGCGCCGCCTGCCCGTACAGGTCATGTCCCCAGTGTCCCCAATGCCCCCATTACCCCAATGTCCCCAGTGTCCCCAATGTCCCCGATGTCCCCAGAGGTGCCACCCACCTCCCTCGTCCACGATGGTGGCCTGCGCCGCCTGCCCGTACAGGTCCACCACGGCGTAGACGTTGGGCGGCACGTTCCAGGCGGCCGGGCCCTGCGCCACGCCGTTGACGAAGAAGTGCAGCGTGCCGTCGTCCCTGCGCACCACGCCCACCGTGTCCCCCGCCTGGGGGGACAGCGTCACCGCCGGCACGGGGACAGCGGGGACGCGTCCCCGGTGGCGGCGGCGCGCCGCGGTGGCCGCGGTGGCCGCGGGGTCCCCACCTTGAGGCGGTCCAGGTTGTGGCCGTACTCGTCCAGCACGGTGGTGCCGTTGTGCATGACGCCGTTCCCGGTCATCATCCACGTGCCTGGGGACATCGGGGACATCGTGGGGGATTGGGGACACTGGGGACACTGGGGACAATGGGGGACATTGGGGACAATGGGGGATTGGGGACATCGGGGAGTGCATATAAGGAGGGACACTGGGGACATCGGGGACACAGGGGACACTGGGGACAATGGGGGATTGGGGACATTGGGGACACTGGGGACAGTGGGGACATTAATGGGGACAGTGGGGGATTGGGGACATTGGGGACAATGGGGACACCGGGGGGACATTGGGATTGGGGCAATGGGGGACATGGGGTGATGGGGGACATGGGGAACATTGGGGAAAATGGGGGATTGGGGACATTGGGGACACTGGGGACAGTGGGGACATTAATGGGGACAGTGGGGGATTGGGGACATTGGGGGCATTGGGGGACATTGGGGACAATGGGACACTGGGGACATCAGGGACACAGGGGACATTGGGGACATCGGGGACACTGGGGACATTGGGGACATTGGGGACAATGGGGGATTGGGGACATTGGGGACATTGGGGGCATTGGGGGACATTGGGGACAATGGGACACTGGGGACATCAGGGACACAGGGGACATTGGGGACATCGGGGACACTGGGGACATTGGGGACATTGGGGACAATGGGGGATTGGGGACATTGGGGACATTGGGGGCATTGGGGGACATTGGGGACAATGGGACACTGGGGACATCAGGGACACAGGGGACATTGGGGACATCGGGGACACTGGGGACATTGGGGACATTGGGGACAATGGGGGATTGGGGACATTGGGGACATTGGGGGCATTGGGGGACATTGGGGACAATGGGACACTGGGGACATCAGGGACACAGGGGACATTGGGGACATCGGGGACACTGGGGACATTGGGGACATTGGGGACAATGGGGGATTGGGGACATTGGGGACATTGGGGGCATTGGGGGACATTGGGGACAATGGGACACTGGGGACATCAGGGACACAGGGGACATTGGGGACATCGGGGACACTGGGGACATTGGGGACATTGGGGACAATGGGGGATTGGGGACATTGGGGACATTGGGGGCATTGGGGGACATTGGGGACAATGGGACACTGGGGACATCAGGGACACAGGGGACATTGGGGACATCGGGGACACTGGGGACATTGGGGACATTGGGGACAATGGGGGATTGGGGACATTGGGGACATTGGGGGCATTGGGGGACATTGGGGACAATGGGACACTGGGGACATCAGGGACACAGGGGACATTGGGGACATCGGGGACACTGGGGACATTGGGGACATTGGGGACAATGGGGGATTGGGGACATTGGGGACATTGGGGGCATTGGGGGACATTGGGGACAATGGGACACTGGGGACATCAGGGACACAGGGGACATTGGGGACATCGGGGACACTGGGGACATTGGGGACATTGGGGACAATGGGGGATTGGGGACATTGGGGACATTGGGGGCATTGGGGGACATTGGGGACAATGGGACACTGGGGACATCAGGGACACAGGGGACATTGGGGACATCGGGGACACTGGGGACATTGGGGACATTGGGGACAATGGGGGATTGGGGACATTGGGGACATTGGGGGCATTGGGGGACATTGGGGACAATGGGACACTGGGGACATCAGGGACACAGGGGACATTGGGGACATCGGGGACACTGGGGACATTGGGGACATTGGGGACAATGGGGGATTGGGGACATTGGGGACATTGGGGGCATTGGGGGACATTGGGGACAATGGGACACTGGGGACATCAGGGACACAGGGGACATTGGGGACATCGGGGACACTGGGGACATTGGGGACATTGGGGACAATGGGGGATTGGGGACATTGGGGACATTGGGGGCATTGGGGGACATTGGGGACAATGGGACACTGGGGACATCAGGGACACAGGGGACAGGGATGGGGACACTGAGGTGACCCTGAGGTGACCCTGAGGTGACATTAAGGTGACCCAGGTGACACACCTGAGCGCAGGTTGGTCATGGTGGATGGCAGCTGCAGGTAGGCGGGGTTGTGGGTGGTGACGCCGATCTCGATGGACCCCGCCCACTTGTCCACCATCTTGTCCAGGCGCACCTGGAACAGCTCGTTGTCCCCGAGGGGCCGCGCGCTCAGCACCACGCCGTGGTTGAAGTCATCCGTGGCACTGGGGACAGTGGGGACAATGGCCCAAATTCCCCCAGTGTCCCCCTGCTCTCCCCAGTGTCACCAATCCCCCAATGTCCCCAGTATCCCTGTGGTCACTCACTGCGGCCACAGCGCTGTCCGGCCCTCGCTGACCCCAGTGTCCCCAATCCCCCCAGTGTCCCCAATGTCCCCAGTTTCCCCAGTGTCCCCCTGGTCACTCACTGCGGCCGCAGCGCCATCCGGCCCTCGTTGACCCCAATGCCTCCAGTGTCCCCAATGTCCTCAGTGTCCCCAATATCCCCAATATCCCCAATGTCCCCAATCCCCCCAATGTCCCCAATCCCCCCAGTGTCCCCAATGTCCCTGCTGTCCCCGCTGTCCCCACGGTCACTCACTGCGGCCGCAGCGCCGTCCGGCCCTCATTGACCCCAGTGTCCCCAATGTCCCCAGTGTCCCCAATCCCCCCGTTGCCCCACAAGGGACACGGGGACGTGGGGACAGCAGGGACATGGTGGTAGTGGCCCTGGGGACAGTGGGGACATGGGGACACCACGGGGACACGGCCATGCCACCACGCCGTACAGCACCTGCGGCGTCAGCGAGGTGGCCACGTCTGGAGAAGGGACACGGGGACGTGGGGACAGCAGGGACATGGTGGTAGTGGCCCTGGGGACAGTGGGGACATGGGGACACCACGGGGACACGGCCATGCCACCACGCCGTACAGCACCTGCGGCGTCAGCGAGGTGGCCACGTCTGGAGAAGGGACACGGGGACGTGGGGACAGCAGGGACATGGTGGTAGTGGCCCTGGGGACAGTGGGGACATGGGGACACCACGGGGACACGGCCATGCCACCACGCCGTACAGCACCTGCGGCGTCAGCGAGGTGGCCACGTCTGGAGAAGGGACACGGGGACGTGGGGACAGCAGGGACATGGTGGTAGTGGCCCTGGGGACAGTGGGGACATGGGGACACCACGGGGACACGGCCATGCCACCACGCCGTACAGCACCTGCGGCGTCAGCGAGGTGGCCACGTCTGGAGAAGGGACACGGGGACGTGGGGACAGCAGGGACATGGTGGTAGTGGCCCTGGGGACAGTGGGGACATGGGGACACAGGGACATGGGGACACGGCCATGCCCTACAGGGCCACCACGCCGTACAGCACCTGCGGCGTCAGCGAGGTGGCCACGCCTGCGGAGGGGACACGGGGACACCACAGGGACATGGGGACACCGTGCTGGCACTGGGGACATGGGGACACCACGGGGACATGGGGACACGGGGACATGGGGACACGGCCATCCCCTACAGGGCCACCATGCCGTACAGCACCTGCGGCGTCAGCGAGGTGGCCACGCCTGGAGAGGGGACACGGGGACACCACGGGGACGTGGGGACATGGGGACACAGTGCTGGCACTGGGGACATGGCAGAGGGGACATGGGGACACCACAGGGACATGGGGACAGCCATGGGGCAGTGGGGACATGGGGACAGCCATGGGGCAGTGGGGACACGGGGACATGGGGACAGCAGGGCCATGGTGCTGGCACAGGGGACACGGCAGTGGTGGCACCAGGGACGTGATAGGGACAGCCGTTGGGACATGGCAGTGGTGGCCCTGGGGACAGCAGGGACACGGCCATGCCACCAGCTCCTGCGGTGTCAGCGAGGTGGCCACACCTGGAGAGGGGACACGGGGACACCACGGGGACATGGGGACACCACGGGGACATGGGGACACCACGGGGACATGGGGACAACAGGGACACGGTGCTGGCACTGGGGACAGAGGGGACATGGGGACAGCAGGGACATGGGGACAGTGGGGACAGTGGGAACACGGCAGGGACAGCAGGGACACGGCGGCGGTGGCCCTGGGGCAAAGATGGGGACATGGCAGGGACAGCAGGGACAGCCATGGGGACACGGGGACACCACGGAGACATGGGGACAGCCATGGGGACATGGGGCAAAGATGGGGACATGGCAGGGACAGCAGGGACAGCCATGGGGACAGAAGAGACAGTGGGGACAGCCATGGGGACACCACGGGGACAAGGGGACAGCAGGGACAGCCATGGGGACACGGGGACACCTCGGGGACATGGAGGTGGCACCTGGGACCCCTCAGGGGTGGTGACAGCGGGGACCCAACGGGGTCCAGCTTGGGGCCAGTTCTGGGATGGATTTTGGGGGTTTTTGGGGTGGATTTGGGGATTTTGGGGTAGATTTGGGGTTTTTGGGGTGGATTTTGGGGTGAAATTGGGGATTTTTGGGGTGGGTTTGGGGTTATTTTGGGATGGATTTGGGGGTGTTTTTGGGGTGAATTCGGGGTGTTTTGGGATGGATTTTGGGATGGATTTTGGGGTGTTTTTGGGATGGATTTTAGGGTGTTTTTGGGGTGAATTTGGGGTGTTTTGGGGCCCCACCTTGGTCCACGCCGTTGATGTAGAAGTGCAGGGATCAGTTCTAGGATCCCGGATTGGGGTGGATTTTGGGGTTTTTGGGGTGAATTTGGGGTTTTTTGGGATGAATTTGGGGGTGTTTTTGGGGTGGTTTTGGGGTGTTTTTGGGGTGAATTTGGGGTGTTTTGGGCCCCACCTTGGTCCACGCCGTTGATGTAGAAGTGCAGGGATCAGTTCTGGGATCCCGGATTGGGGTGGATTTGGGGGATTTTCAGGAATTTTGGGACATTTTTCAGAGATTTTGGGGCACTTTCTAGGAATTTTAGGGGATTTTTCAGAGATTTTCACAGATTTTCCAGAGATTTGGGGCATTTTCTGGGAATTTTGGGGCATTTTCTGGGAATTTTAGGGGATTTTTCAGAGATTTTGGGGTGTTTCCCCAGGATTGTGGGGGATTTTTAGGTTATTTCCCAGAATTTTTGGAAGATTTTTCCAGAATTTTTGTGGGATTTCTGCCCAGAATTTTTGGGATATTTTCCCCAGAATTTTTGGGACATTTTCCCCAGGATTTTGGGATGTTTCCCCCACGATTTTTAGGGTATTTTCCCAAGGATTTTTTTGGGGTATTTTCCTAGGAATTTCAGGGCATTTTCCCCAGAATTTTTGGGATATTTTACAGGGATTTTCAATGCATTTTCCCCAGGATTTTTAGGGCATTTTCCCCAGAATTTTTGGGTTGTCTTCACAGGATTTTTGGGGTTATTTAACAGAATTTCTGGGGTATTTTCCCCAGAATCTGTGCGGATTTTCACCAGAATTTTGGGGGAAGTTCCCCAGCACTTTTAAGGGAAGTTCCCCAGGATTTTTGGGGTACTTTCCCCAGAATTTTTAGGGCATTTTGCCCAGGATATTTTGGAGTATTTTCTCCAGAATTTTTAGAGCATTTTCCCCAGAATTTTTAGGGCATTTTTCCCAGAATTTTTAGGGCATTTTTCCCAGGATTCCTACAGTGTTTTCCCAGATTTTTTAGGGCATTTTCCCCAGAATTTTTGGGATATTTCCCAGGGATTTTCAGGGCATTTTCCCCAGAATTTTTGGGATATTTCCCAGGATTTTTTGTGTATTTCCCCAGAATTTTTAGGGCATTTTCCCCAGGATTTCTGGGGAATTTTCCCACAATTTTTGGGGTATTTCCCCAGGGATTTTCAGTGCATTTTCCCCAGAATTTTTGGGACATTTCCCAGGATTTTCAGTGCATTTTCCCCAGAATTTTTAGGGCATTTTCCCCAGGATTTTGGGGAATTTTCCCACACTTTTTGGGGTATTTCCCCAGGGATTTTCAGTGCATTTTCCCCAGAATTTTTGGGATCTTTCCCAGGAATTTTCAGGGCATTTTCCCCAGGACTTTTGGGATATTTCCCAGGGATTTTCAGTGCATTTTCCCCAGAATTTTTGGAGGATGTTTCCCAGACTTTTTAGGGCATTTTCCCCAGGATTTCTGGGGTATTTTTCCCAGAATTTTTGGGTATTTTTCCCAGATTTTTCAGTGCATTTTCCCCAGAGTTTTTAGGGTATTTCCCCAGAATTTTAGGGTATTTCCCCAGGATTTTTAGGGCATTTTTCCAGGGATTTTCAGTGCATTTTCCCCAGGATTTTTGGGACATTTCCCAGGGATTTTCAGTGCATTTTCCCCAGGACTTTTAGGGCACTTTCCCCAGGATTTTGGGGAATTTTCCCACACCTTTTGGGGTATTTCCCCAGGACTTCCAGAGCATTTCCCCCATTATTTTTGGGCCGTTTTCCCAGGGTTTTGGGCTCACCTGAGCGCAGGTTGGTCA